TGTATGTGGCACTGACAGTCTCTCCTGTGTATGTGGCACTGACAGTCTCTCCTGTGTATGCGGCACTGACAGTCTCTCCTGTGTATGCGGCACTGACAGTCTCTCCTGTGTATGTGGCACTGACAGTCTCTCCTGTGTATGTGGCACTGACAGTCTCTCCTGTGTATGTGGCACTGACAGTCTCTCCTGTGTATGTGGCACTGACAGTCTCTCCTGTGTATGTGGCACTGACAGTCTCTCCTGTGTATGTGGCACTGACAGTCTCTCCTGTGTATGTGGCACTGACAGTCTCTCCTGTGTATGTGGCACTGACAGTCTCTGCTGTTCCCTTCCCCCCACAGGTAGTTTTCATCACGGAGTACGTGTCGTCTGGAAGTCTCAGGCAGTTTCTGAAGAAAACTCAAAAGAATCGTAAAACAATGAATGCGAAGGTGAGCGCCCGTCCCGTGTTCCCGCACATACATGTGACCGTCCATGTGCCAGAACATGGAATGTCCTCACCATGTCTGCATGCGTGTTCTATTGATTTGCAGCCACACACATGTACTATGTGCAGTAATGAGCAGAGAGACCCCATACAGTGACCACAGCGGGTGTTGTGTTACCTGCAGAGAGTGCGTCTGACGTGCACACACAGGGGCTCCCCCGGTTCCTGCTCTCTGTGGTCACATGCATTCAGGGGCCCCTGCGCTATGAACTGTTCCCACTGACCCTCATGTGTTTTCCAGGCCTGGAAGAGATGGTGCACCCAGATCCTGTCAGCACTAAGGTAAGAAATGCACAGACTCCTCTCCTGGATGCTTCTGTGCATCATCTAGCCCTTTCCTCCCCAGCCTAACTGTTATGGCCCCGCCCCTTTCATTAATTGGATTTCACTAGTTTTAATCGTGGAGGCTCAGCATCACATGGGGGCGTTACCAAGTGTGGTCTGCATGCAAATGCACCCTGCCTTCCAGACTGACGCAGGGTGTTTTGATGTTTTCAGAAAGCTTTGTACAGCACCCTGTGTCCCCCATGACTCCAGAGCACCCTGTGACCTCCAGAGCACCCTGTGATTCCAGAGCACCCTGGGTCATCCTGTGACCTCCAGAGCGCCCTGTGATTCCAGAGCACCCTGTGACCTCCAGAGCACCCTGTGTCCCCCATGACTCCAGAGCACCCTGTGACCTCCAGAGCACCCTGTGATTCCAGAGCACCCTGTGTCACCCTGTGACCTCCAGAGCGCCCTGTGACCTCCAGAGCGCCCTGTGACCTCCAGAGCGCCCTGTGATTCCAGAGCGCCCTGTGATTCCAGAGCGCCCTGTGATTCCAGAGCGCCCTGTGACCTCCAGAGCGCCCTGTGACCTCCAGAGCACCCTGTGACCTCCAGAGCACCCTGTGACCTCCAGAGCACCCTGTGATTCCAGAGCACCCTGGGTCATCCTGTGACCTCCAGAGCGCCCTGTGATTCCAGAGCACCCTGTGACCTCCAGAGCACCCTGTGTCCCCCATGACTCCAGAGCACCCTGTGACCTCCAGAGCACCCTGTGATTCCAGAGCACCCTGTGTCACCCTGTGACCTCCAGAGCGCCCTGTGACCTCCAGAGCGCCCTGTGACCTCCAGAGCGCCCTGTGATTCCAGAGCGCCCTGTGATTCCAGAGCGCCCTGTGATTCCAGAGCGCCCTGTGACCTCCAGAGCGCCCTGTGACCTCCAGAGCACCCTGTGACCTCCAGAGCACCCTGTGACCTCCAGAGCACCCTGTGATTCCAGAGCACCCTGGGTCATCCTGTGACCTCCAGAGCGCCCTGTGATTCCAGAGCACCCTGTGACCTCCAGAGCACCCTGTGTCCCCCATGACTCCAGAGCACCCTGTGACCTCCAGAGCACCCTGTGATTCCAGAGCACCCTGTGTCACCCTGTGACCTCCAGAGCGCCCTGTGACCTCCAGAGCGCCCTGTGACCTCCAGAGCGCCCTGTGATTCCAGAGCGCCCTGTGATTCCAGAGCGCCCTGTGATTCCAGAGCGCCCTGTGACCTCCAGAGCGCCCTGTGACCTCCAGAGCACCCTGTGACCTCCAGAGCACCCTGTGACCTCCAGAGCACCCTGTGATTCCAGAGCACCCTGGGTCATCCTGTGACCTCCAGAGCGCCCTGTGACCTCCAGAGCGCCCTGTGACCTCCAGAGCGCCCTGTGATTCCAGAGCGCCCTGTGATTCCAGAGCGCCCTGTGATTCCAGAGCGCCCTGTGACCTCCAGAGCGCCCTGTGACCTCCAGAGCACCCTGTGACCTCCAGAGCACCCTGTGACCTCCAGAGCACCCTGTGATTCCAGAGCACCCTGGGTCATCCTGTGACCTCCAGAGCGCCCTGTGATTCCAGAGCACCCTGTGACCTCCAGAGCACCCTGTGTCCCCCATGACTCCAGAGCACCCTGTGACCTCCAGAGCACCCTGTGATTCCAGAGCACCCTGTGTCACCCTGTGACCTCCAGAGCGCCCTGTGACCTCCAGAGCGCCCTGTGACCTCCAGAGCGCCCTGTGATTCCAGAGCGCCCTGTGATTCCAGAGCGCCCTGTGATTCCAGAGCGCCCTGTGACCTCCAGAGCGCCCTGTGACCTCCAGAGCACCCTGTGACCTCCAGAGCACCCTGTGACCTCCAGAGCACCCTGTGATTCCAGAGCACCCTGGGTCATCCTGTGACCTCCAGAGCACCCTGTGACATCCTGTGACCTCCAGAGCACCCTGTGTCATCCTGTGACCTCCAGAGCACCCTGTGTCATCCTGTGACCTCCAGAGCACCCTGTGTCATCCTGTGACCTCCAGAGCACCCTGTGTCATCCTGTGACCTCCAGAGCACCCTGTGTCATCCTGTGACCTCCAGAGCACCCTGTGTCATCCTGTGACCCCCAGAGCACCCTGTGTCATCCTGTGACCTCCAGAGCACCCTGTGTCATCCTGTGACCTCCAGAGCACCCTGGGTCATCATGTGACCTCCAGAGCACCCTGGGTCATCATGTGACCTCCAGAGCACCCTGTGTCATCCTGTGACCTCCAGAGCACCCTGTGTCATCCTGTGACCCCGTGACTCCAGAGCACCCTGTGTCATCCTGTGACCCCTGTGACCTCCAGAGCACCCTGTGTCATCTTGTGACCCCGTGACTCCAGAGCACCCTGTGTCATCCTGTGACCCCTGTGACCTCCAGAGCACCCTGTGTCATCCTGTGACCCCGTGACTCTTTTTTATATGCCTCAAGAGGTATTTTTTTTCTGTGCTTGCAGGAATTATATGAGATAAACCTGAGAGCCGCATTTCTTATTTCAGCTACCTGCACTCATGTGATCCGGTCATTGTACACGGCAATCTGACCAACGACACCATCTTCATCCAGCACAACGGTCTCATCAAGATTGGGTCAGGTATGATATTTGGGGGGGGGGGGGGAAAAAAAAGTGATGGTATTGGGGGGGGGGGGCGGCAAGGGGAGGGATCATTATTAATGATGGATGCAAATGTATTCACAAATACCCCCACAAAGTGCAGATATTTCCTGCTGATATTTCCTGCCACGGGCCCCCTGGAGGGGCCGGCATACTGACATCTTTATAGGCTCTCCGGTGAGCTCTGCACGGCTGCTTCCTGTGTCATGTTGGGATTTCATTATCTGGGACACAGTGACCATTATGTGTGTGTGTGTGTGTGTATATATATCTATATACAGTATATACACACACGGGGCTCACAGCTGGGGCCAGCCGAATATTGGGACAAATCACATGATGATGAAGATATTTTCAGCTGCTCTGCGCATTGGTTATAGATTAACCCCTTCCTTAATGATGACCTATCTGTACATAAATTCTGCAACCGGATCATTTCTCAGCAAATCCTCCTTGCGCTCCAGTCAGTGACTTTAGCAAGGCTGGGATGATGTCATCAGTCTGCTGCAGGCAGGAAGAGGCATTTCTCCAGTCTCCCCTCCCCTAGTGATCAGTCTGCTGCAGACTGGAGGGAGCATTTCTTCAGTGTTTGTGATGACAGCCAAAAACTGCACAGACACCAGGAGTGTGACATCTCTAAGCCTGCATCTCAGTGCAGGCAAAAGATGGTGACCCTGGATGATGTCTGAAGTACTGTGATCTCTGGGAGTGGTAACAAATACTGGAAGGAGTTACAGCGAAATGTGCTGCACTTCGTAACTTAATATCCCTCAAGCCTACGCAACATGCTGCACCTAATACCTTAATAACACATAACCCTACACAACATGCTGCACCTAATACCTTCATAACCCCTAACCCTACACAACATGCTGCACCTAATACCTTAATAGCCCATAACCCTACACAACATGCTGCACCTAATACCTTAATAACCCCTAACCCTACACAACATGCTGCACCTAATACCTTCATAACCCATAACCCTACACAACATGCTGCACCTAATACCTTAATAGCCCATAACCCTACACAACATGCTGCACCTAATACCTTCATAACCCATAACCCTACACAACATGCTGCACCTAATACCTTAATAACCCCTAACCCTACACAACATGCTGCACCTAATACCTTAATAACCCCTAACCCTACACAACATGCTGCACCTAATACCTTAATAACCCTTAACCCTACACAACATGCTGCACCTAATACCTTAATAACCCGTAACCCTACACAACATGCTGCACCTAATACCTTAATAACCCCTAACCCTATACAACATGCTGCACCTAATACCCTAATAACCCTAACCCTACACAACATGCTGCAGCTAATACCTTAATAGCCCTAACCCTACACAACATGCTGCACCTAATATCTTAATAACTCGTAACCCTACACAACCCCTAACCCTACACAACATGCTGCACCTAATACCTTAATAACCCATAACCCTACACAGCATGCTGCACCTAATACCTTAATAACCCCTAACCCTACACAACATACTGCACCTAATACCTTAATAACTCGTAACCCTACACAACCCCTAACCCTACACAACATACTGCACCTAATACCTTAATAACTCGTAACCTTACACAACATGCTTGCACATACACAACATGCTGCACCTAATATCTTAATAACTCGTAACCCTACACAACCCCTAACCCTACACAACATGCTGCACCTAATACCTTAATAACCCATAACCCTACACAGCATGCTGCACCTAATACCTTAATAACCCCTAACCCTACACAACATACTGCACCTAATACCTTAATAACTCGTAACCCTACACAACCCCTAACCCTACACAACATGCTGCACCTAATACCTTAATAACTCGTAACCCTACACAACCCCTAACCCTACACAACATACTGCACCTAATACCTTAATAACTCGTAACCTTACACAACATGCTGCACCTAATACCTTAATAACCCCTAACCCTACACAACATGCTGCACCTAATACCTTAATAACCCAAAACCCTACACAACATACTGCACCTAATACCTTAATAGCCCATAACCCTACACAACATGCTGCACCTAATACCTTCATAACCCATAACCCTACACAACATACTGCACCTAATACCTTAATAACCCAAAACCCTACACAACATGCTGCACCTAATACCTTAATAACCCCTAACCCTACACAACATGCTGCACCTAATACCTTAATAACCCCTAACCCTACACAACATGCTGCACCTAATACCTTAATAACCCGTAACGCTATGCACTGATACATCTGATGACAGGTCACACAGGATATCTTGGGGCCCACAATGTAAAATCACTGGCTGGAGCTCTGGGACGGCTTTTTGATGATAGAAGATGGCACTTGTCTGGGAAATTATACTGTTGCTGTATTCTAGGTCATACATTTATTCACGCAGCGAAGTTACTGACAGGTCCACTTCAAGTGACAGTGTTGCAAATGGGCCAGACACATAAGGAGCTGCTGTAACATTTGGGGGCCCTGTAGTCACTCGGCTCTGAAGGGATGATTCTGCACCAACATCGCCCAAAATGTCCTGCAGCGGGAGTGGTCTGTCCTCGTTATAATGACCCCGGAGCAATGCAGGCCGATGATGGGAGTTCATAGAAATGTCAGATCTCTCCGCCGGCAATATCTACGTCTCTGATTGCACCGCACATGTCTCCAGCTCTGTACTCACCCCTGTTTTTTTTCCCCCCTTTTCTCTCCTCCTCTGGACGTCGCCCCTCCATGACGCAGTCTGGCACCGAGTATTTGCAAATGGTGAGTTGTGTTCATTTTATTAAAGAGACCCTGTCACTCACCACCATTCATTTCAATGCATGCATTTACAATATATATGCTATTTACCTGTATCAGTCTCCCATGTGTATGGATACAAAGGCCATGAGAATATTGCTGGGCGCCATCTTGGATGTGATGTCGGCAGCCCCGGCAGATTCAATGTTGTCATTCTATAATGTTCCCCTTCACTCATCCCCCACAAAATGTATAAAAGGTTATGTAGTGATGGGGGTGATGTAAGAGGGGAGGGCAGAGGAGATGGACCAGCACAGACACTCCCTGAAGAGGAGAGGGCTATGACGTTCAAGGAGGGAGGGGCTCTGCTAGGCAATAGACTCTTCCTAGTCACATTTTCTAGCACATTGCAACTCAATAAATAAATTCGGAAAGGAAAAATGCTGCAAGTAAGTAATGAGGGCTAGCTCACGCCATAGCATTGGGCTAAAGGCACGGCACCCATGCTTTTAGTGCACACTATCGCACAATACAGGGCACACTAAGTGCACATGTGCTTTGCATTTCCATTCATTTGAATGACGACTAAATGCATCTCCTAGCGGGCATGCGTTGCAGATCAGCACAACTTATGGTATTGCAATACTATGCATTGTGGTGAAAAAAGTAATGCGTGTACTACACAGAGCCACAGAAAGAATTAGATGCAGGGAGATCCTGGCACTGCAGGTCCCCAGGTACAGCTTCCTCTCCAGCAAGGAGAACAGTGGTGACATCACCAAATCTTACTCCAAATCTCCTGAACTAGTGGCTGGAGGCAATAGTGCCTTAGGTGACCTTACTCTGCAGATATACAGCTATGAGGCTACAGAACAGGAGTGCCTACGCACAGGAAGTAGTGATAACAGGAAATGCACTGAGATCAGGAGTACCTAGGCACAGGAAATGCACTGAGATCAGGAATGCCCAAGCACAGGAAGTGCAATGATATCAGGAATGCCTAGGCACAGGAAGTGCACTGATATCACGAATGCCTAGGCACAGGAAGTGCACTGATATGAGGAATGCTTGGGCACAGGAAGTGCAATGATATCAGGAATGCTTAGGGACAGGAAGTGCACTGATATCAAGAATGCCTAGGGACAGGAAGTGCACTGATAGTAGGAATGCCTAGGCACAGGAAGTGCACTCATAGTAGGAATGCTTGGGCACAGGAAGTGGAGTGACATCAGGAATGCCTCCGCACAGGAAGTACACTGATGTTTTTTAGGAGGAATCGGATACAAAAGGCAGACTTTTCAGGGTACGGTTTAGGCACAATCAGTATTTCTATAAGATAACAAATCTTCACTTTTCAAGTTCAGCTCAACTTTTACGTGGTGCTGCCGGTTTTACACAAATATGTGCCAGGACTGGCAGCATTGCAGCAGGCTTTACCTCCATGCTGCCACATATATGTGTACAGCCGGCATTGCTCTTCATACTGGTAGAATGGGCCCCCATCATGTGACCCATGTGACAGCCGATCGTATTGATGATGTCATGATCAGAAACATGCCTACCAGTCTCTGGTGTAAAGAACCCTTTAACTTCTTGCCGTCCGCCCGTAGTAAAAAAACGGACGGACGGCACTGCAGCATTTGCAGGTTGCCGTCACAAGACGGCAATTTTTTTCTGCTCGCGCGCGCACCAGCAATATAAATGCATCTCAGAGAGACTGCAAAAAACTGACAGTCAGAATTCATCTCTCCTTATAAATAATGAAGCCCATCCTTATCTGATGGGCAGCACAATTCCGCACCAGGAGAGGAAAGCTTCAGAGAAATGGGTCACAAGTAATCCTTGTCTCGTGGGGCTTAGAAAATGAAGACCAGTCCAGCAGAAAGTGAATTAATCTCAGTGTCAGCTGATCTCTGCACTTAAAGGGTAATTCCTCCTTGTTTTTGGAGTTCTAAAAAAAAAGAAGAGAACGTCCCCGAAGGCCTATTAGAGAGAGGGAGACATAGTCCGGACAAGGAGTAAGGACAGAGGCGGCCCAAGTGATGGGTTCTCCAACGACCTGACTTCCTGTTTAGTTAGAAGTAATAGGTTTGGGCAGGAAGGCTGTACTGCACGTGCGCCACCCGCGGCATTTCCCTACACACATACTATACAGCAATAAACTATTATAATTAGGGATGCACCGATACTAGTATTAGTATCGGTGCCGATTCTGAGTATTTGGGCAAGTACTCGTACTCGCCCAACTGCTCCGATGCCTAGCACGAGTACTTCCGGTATCAGGAAGCTGGGCAGCCGTCATTACACGCTGCCCGGTTTCACGATTGACGGGGAAGCAGCTCCATGCTCACTTGTCACTTGTGATGAGAGCGCATGGAGCCCGACTTCCCGGCCAATCAGGAAGCCGGGCAGCGTGTAATGACGCGCTGCCTGGCTTCCTGATTGGTCGGGAAGCTGGCCAATCAGGAAGCTGGCCTCGTGAGGTAAGGTTATCTTACCATAGTATGTGCAGCCTGTCACCCCTGGGGCCTCTCCAGCGAGAATGCGGCCTTCGTCCGGTACCCAGCCGGGCGCCGTCTAATGACGCAACGCCCTGCTTTCTGATTGGCCGGGAAGCTGGCTTCATGCTCCCTCGTCATCTCATGACAAGAGAGCATGGAGCCGGCCTCCCGGCCAATCAGAAAGCAGGGCGTCGTGTCATTACACGGAGCCCGGTTTCCGGATTGGCCGGCCAGACGGCTCCGGCTGGGTACAGGACGAAGGCCGCGTTCTCGCTGGAGAGGCCCCTGGGGTGACAGGCTGCACATACTAAGGTAAGAGGGGACTTTCTTGTTAAATCGGGAAGCCGGGTGGCGACTCTTTACATGCTGCCCGGCTAATCAGGAAGCCAGGTGGCGAGTCATTACACGCCACCTGGCTTCCTGAATGGGACTTCCGTTACTCGGTAATTGGTATCGGCGTGTAGCGAAAAAAAATTATCGGTACTCGTACTCGGCACCAAAATACCGGTATCGGTGCATCCCTAATTATAATGAACTAGGGTCAGACTAATCACAGGACTTTGGGGGTGTCTCTGTGCTATATTGTTCCCATTTAGCCAAAAAGGCCATAAGCTCAGATGTGCTGACACCTACAGGAACATTTGGTGCAGAGGAGACGAGGATCAAGCTGGTTAGCCAGACAGATTGGAGAGATCATTTCATCTTTCAGGCCTCTGGAGGCCAAATGCTATGATTGGCATCGGCTTTATTGGAGAGTCAAAAAGATTAAAAGGGGATTAACAGCAGAAATAATACACAAGGACGGGAAAGGTGGAAATATAGAGAGAGGGATTTGTGAAGGACAAGCAAACCTACAATGCATAAAATAGGAATGGACTTCCTTGTTTTCAAAAATATGGGATTACCTATTAATATGGTGTTTGCCCACCTTATGGATATAACAGTCTACACTCTTCTGAGAAGGCTTTCTATTAGATTTTGTAGGGTGTCTTCAGGAATTTTTGCTCATTCAGTCAAAAGAGCATTTGTGGCCAGGTATCATACTTACCAACATTGGGTCCCACATAGTGACATAGTATTTGAGGTTGAATAAAGACACAGGTCCATCAAGTTCAACCTGTGTGTGATTGTGCATGTGTTTGTGTGTACATGAGTCCCTGTGTGATCTTGTTTTTAAGAGTACCTGTACCTCTGTATGTTACGGTCTCTGAGGAAGGTATCTAAATGCTTTCTGAATGATTCAATACTCTCTGTTGATACCACTGCTTGTGGTAGCGAGTTCCAGACTTGAACCTCTCTTACTTAAAAAAAGCCCTTACGCCCTTTGCGGTTAAATCTTTTCTCCACCAATTTTCGGTGGTGGCCTCTAGTCCTTGTTATGGAGTTTACTGTAAAAGGTTTGTTGCTGATGTTGCCATCACCACTAAACATCTTGTACATCAAAATCATGTCTCCTCTTAATCTCCTCACTTCCAGCGTGAACAAGTTTAAATTTAGTACCCTTGTCTTAGCTTAGGTCCTCCAGCCCCTCAATTAGTTTTGTTGCCCTTCTCTGGATTCTCTGCAGCTCCAGGACATCCTTTCTGTGGATTGGGGACCAAAACTGGACTGCATACTCCAGATGAGGCCGAACCAGTGATCTATAACGTGGCAAAATTATTGCTTTGTCTCTACAGTACATTCCCTTTTTAATCCCGGGACACTGTTAGCCCTGTCCATGGTCTGCATTTTGTCCTTCCGCTTTGCAGGTGGGTACTCCAAAATCACACCTCTGAATATCTGGATACCATCCATTCATGGCCCCGATCCCCACAATTATTGCCTTTTTGTGTAATTACACATGTACAGTTACTCCAGTTAGGTTGATGCTGTGATCCTGGGATCCAGCAATGGCAGGACAGAGAGCCAAGATGTTGAGGTCCAAGAGGGACTTTCTTGGCATATCTGGGATAGCTGGCATCTGAGGTACTGTTGTTGGATAAGAATCTCCCAATTGGGGTTCCAATTCATCCCAAAGCTGTTGAGTAGGGTTGAGGTCAGGACTCACAAGTTCCTCCACTCCAAACTCATTAAACCATGCCTTTGTACACAGGGGACAGTCATGGTGGAACAGGAAAGGGCCTTAACCAAACTGATCACAAGGCTGGAAGAGCACAATTGTCTACAATGTCTTTGTAAGTTGTAGTACTAACGGAACCTTCACTGGAAACACCTGAACTCATTTGGAGGGTAGTCCACATACTTTTTGGCCATATATCATATGTCATGCTTACACTATATTGCCAAAAGTATTGGGACACCCTCCAAATCATATTATTCAGGTGTTCCAATCCCCTCCATGGCCACAGGTGTATAGAATCACGCACCTCGGCATGCAGACACTTCTACAAACATTGGTGAGAGAACGGGTCGCTCTCAGAAGCTCAGTGACTACAAGCGTGGTACTGTGATAGGTGGTCACCTGTACAATAAGTCTATCCGTGACATTTCCTGGCTACTAAATATTCCGCGGTCACCTGTTAGCGGTATTATAACAAAGCAGAAGCAACTGGGAACAGCAGCAACTCAGCCACGAAGTGGTAGGCCACGTAAAATGACAGAGCGGGGTCAGCGCATGCTGAAGCGCACAGTGCGCAGAAAGTGTAAAGGCGTCCCAAAACATCTGGTAATATAGTGTACATCTTCAGAAGCATAGTTCACAACAAGGACCTACTATGTAGTATCATAAAATGCATGCAGAAATACATGGCACATGGGGAAGGAGATGGGAAGGGAAGAGAATGGTAAGCCTGTTATCTGGAAGGACTATGTAGGTTGGGACTCGGCCTTCACTGGCTTCATATTTCCTCTGGATCTCAGGATGGTGAAGCATGGATGAAGATGACAGCCCAGGGTTTTCTCTTATAAAAACCATGTGTACAAGTCAGCAGAGGAAGTGACTCAGCTGCTGCCATATTGCTGTTCTGACAGATTCCCTTTACATTCTTGAAAGGCTAGTGATGACAGGGGTAGGGGCGCTCCAGAGAAAGAGAGCAGCATGAGAGGAACCCTAGAGATGATAGACATATAGGATGACCTGTTATGTTAAACTTTTCAACTTAGTATTTGTTATGGAAGCTTTTCTATGCGAGTCCCGTGAGCGTCTCCTGACCTCCGAACAAGCATAACACGGCGGAGCATGTGAATAGGATAGAGGGACGGGGATGGCGCTGAGCTGCTTCCTGACACAGTGCCTGCCATTGTCCTGATCCGCAATGTTACATAAAGGAGGAAATTCATGAAAGATGAAGCTGAGCGGCGGCCCACTCGGCTCAGAACAATGACGAACTGTGCGCTTCTCACTCACCAAGTATTCCGGGTAACCTTCCAACGTCCTACAAGAGGGCCGGACACAATCCCATTCCTGGTGTATCGGACCATCTCTGGCCTCACGCTCCTGAAAACGGCTCGCAATGGGCAAGATTTATTCATCACAAAAATGGCAATTTTTCCTCCCTCAGCTGCTTGTTTGTGATTTGTCGGTGAGCGATGCGGAACATTCCAGAGCCTAATTTTAGTCTGTTTATTTATCTTCTCAGAGCTTCCTATGCCGGACCATCTCCGGAGCCCACTGATGACACAGAGAGAGGAACATCGAACTCTCCACTTCTTCCCTCCAGAGTACGGCTGTAAGAGAACAGAACATCCACCCCTAAACATAGCATGTGTGCTGCTGCCTGCCCCATACACAGCTTATATACTGCTGCCTGCTCCCACCACCCTCCATACACTACACTGTACATACCATGTCTACTGCTGCCTGCTCCATACACAGCACTGTACATACCTTGTATACTGCTGCTTGCTCCTACCATCCTCCATACACTACACTGTACATACCATGTCTACTGCTGCCTGCTCCATACACAGCACTGTACATACCTTGTATACTGCTGCCTGCTCCTACCACCCTCCATACACTACACTGTACACACCATGTCTACTGCTGTCTGCTCCATACACAGCACTGTACACACACCATTCTACTGCTGCCTGCTCCATACACAGCACTGTACATACCATGTCTACTGCTGCCTACTCCTACCACCCTCCATACATAGCACTGTACATACCACGTATACTGCTGCCTGCTCCTACCACCCTCCATACATAGCACTGTACATACCACATATACTGCTGCCTGCTCCTACCACTCTCCATACACAGCACTGTACATACCACATATACTGCTGCCTGCTCCTACCACCCTCCATACACAGCACTGTACATACCACATATACTGCTGCCTGCTCCTACCACTCTCCATACACAGCACTGTGTATGGAGAGTACACAGTACCCTCCATACATACACAGTACCCATCATACAGCAGGCAACATATACTGCTGCCTGCTCCTACCACCCTCCATACATAGCACTGTACATACCACATATACTGCTTAGGGCTGTGGAAATTAAAGATGAATTTCTCAATTAATCGTTAAACTTTTTGATGGATTAAAACATTTTTGATCGCTAATGAAAACACTCGCCTCTCCGCCGGCTTCCGGGAGTCCCGTCAGCGATCCGGTGACATCACGGATATCGACGTCACCGGACTCCTCCCCCCTTCCCCAAGTGGCTCCGTCGGCTAACGAAGGGAAGGGTGAGGAGTCCTGTGACGTCGATGTCCGTGACGGCTAACGAAGGGAAGGGGGAGGAGCCTGGTGACGTCGATGTCTGTGACATCACCGGACTCCTCCCCCCTTTGTTAGCCGACGGAGCCACTTGGGCCGGTGAGAAACTTTCTGCACGAGCGCCAGCCAAGGCATTGGCCTATAAACATACAGCACAGCAATGAAGTCATAAAATGATCTAGGATCACACTAATCCAGCACGTTATTCAGCTGAGTTGCCCCACTCAAGCGGCGGCCATATTGAGTAGGGCACGTGAGATTAATAACGTGCTGGATTAGTGTGATCCTAGTTCATTGTATTACTTCATAGCTGTGCTGTATGTGTATAGGCCAATGTAGTTGGATCTGTATGTGCGTTATAATTAATTTAAATTAATCGATTAAAAAAAATTTCGATTAATCGAACACGAACAATCATTACCAGCCCTAATACTGCTGCCTGCTTCTACCACCCTCCATACACTACACTGTACATACCACATATACTGCTGCCTGCTCCTACCACTCTCCATACACAGTGCTTTACATACATGGTATAATTCTACCTGCTTGTATCACCCACCATACACAATGCTGTATATATTGTGTATGCTGCTGCCTGTTCATATCACCCTCCATACACTGGGCTGTGCATACCCATTTTTGTAAAGCACCGTACATATCCCGTATACTCCTGCCTGCTCCTATCACCCTCTATACATAGCACCATACATACCATGCATAATCCTGCCTGCTCCTACCACCCTCTATACATAGCACCATACATACCATGTATACTCCTGCCTGCTCCTACCACCCTCTATACATAGCACCATACATACCATGTATACTCCTGCCTGCTCCTACCACCCTCTATACATAGCACCATACATACCATGTATACTCCTGCCTGCTCCTACCACCCTCTATACATAGCATTAGTCTTCCAGTTAGTCATATTAGATTTTGGAATTTTTGTATTATTTTGGTACTGAATATCCTCCTTCACCCCCCCCCCTTCCCCCCCCCCCCCCCAGCTGTAGAAGATGGTACTGCTGGGGATATCTTCTCGTTCGGGATGTGCGCTCTTGAGGTGAGACCCGTCCTTGTTTTGTCCGCAGATCACTCTGGAAACCGAGAACATCATATAGTTCTAATAAACCCCAAAAGCCAATTGTACTAAAATAGACAATTCATGACATATAAGCAGATGTCACACGTCTCTCACGGGGGATAGTCGTCTGATCAACAGCTTATACCTGCAAGTCCCACAACGTGGACCTGCAGTGTGAACATAATGTAGCCAAGACAACCTCAAAATGTAAAGAAGGAACTCCGAATTGGGTGATCCGCCTGTAATGGTGGCAATATCCACCCCTCAGGTGTCTCTCACTTGGCCAGTGCTGAGGCCGGTGGATTTCTGAAGGCTCCACTGACTCCCTCATTCTAAACATGGGTTCCCTAGAGGCCATGTGACCAATGCCAAGGCCCTAGTCATGTGAACAGGCATCAATGGA